CATCTTTTGATTAACATGAGAAATTTACATTCTTAAAACAGGAACAAATGAGGTAACCTATGAGATATAACTTCTTATCAATTCTGCACCAGCCTAATTACCAATTAAATTGCCACTACCAGTTTCTCATTCTTTATACCATTCTAGATATAAATAAATAAATAGATAACTAAATAAAACATGAAAGACTACATGTTGGAATTAAACAATGACTACAAAAAAATACTATAATTGACCTCTGACTTGTGCCCCAGTTCTGTATGCATAAATAATAAATAAATCTTAAAAAAATAAAAGCAAAACCCAGCTGCACCATTTATAAGACTCACTTAAGCTGTAAAGACAGATACAGCCTTCAAGTCAAGAGATGGGAAATGGTCCTCTAAATTAATGCAAAATTTAGAAGAGCAGCAAGTGCTATCCTTGGAAAATTAGAAAAGCATAATCCACACTGAGGTGAAAAGAGTCAATAGAAACGATTTCTCAGTGACCCAGATGTTGGGCCAAACAGAACAGGAGTACTAAGTCGCCATTATACTCCGGCAAATTAAAGTTTAGAATATCACCAATACCAACTACTACCCCTGACTCTATGAGCTTTAGGAATTTAGGAAATTTATCAAAAAATATATATTTTTCTATAAAGATTATAATAGGTTTTATCATGCCTTGCTCTAAAACTTTAAAACCTACTGGTTTGGTTTCATATATGTGTATATATGTGAGTGTGTGTTTGTTTTCTGATAACCACACAGCCTCAGTTATAATGTGTTCTTTTGAGAAGACTTCCCTTGCTAAAATTCCCAACCGACATCTTATCAATTCCCCTGCATCCCTCCCCAAGGGATCATGCATTCTGTTTTCCCCTACATTTGTCCCACATTTCATTCATTGTTACAGTCAGGAAAATAAATGCCTTAAGGGAGCCATTAAATTCTTAAGAGTTTCCTAAATCCCTCAAGAAACAGAAAAGCTTTTAATATATTTTTATGTCCTTCTGATCAGCTGATCTTCAGGGACCCAATTCCACCTGCAGGTCATGAACTTGTAAGGGTCAGTATTCCAATCCCATCTGGACCCTAATCTGAGGCAGAATATCGCCTGAGAACGCGAACTGATGGTGTCTACCACACCCTAGAGACCCATCACTGATAAAATTTTACCAATTGACTTTTGTTTCCACCTAAAGAAGCTGTATCTCTCTCGTTAGAGGCTATCTGGACTAATCTTACAATATTTTAGGTTACTGACTGCATGCTTTCTCATTCTTAATTCTGAGACTCCCCAGATAGTCAGTTTTTGGTAAATCCTATCCTGAGCACAAATTTTCTTAAATTGGATGTTCACTAACCTCCATGCAACTTAGGTTCCAGTTCCATCACCATTATATTTACTCCTTAGCTTGTCAACATTTAAAGACTGGAATACCTATTCACAGCCATTTTGGCTTTACGATCTGATAACCATGATTGAAACCATTATTCTACTATTGCTTAAAATGCACGTATGGACAGTTTCTTTAGTTATTCTAGGCCACCTAAGTTGTGACTAAGAACATTTAACATTCGTTAACTCATTAACTCACATAATGACAAGGGATAATAGTTGTACCTGAGACATACTAGGCATTTAATAAATAGAAACCATTCCAACAAGGATCCTGCTTAATATTCGATTGCCAAAGAAAAAGAAACACTCTTGTTAATAAAATTAATTATAATATTTCTCATGCCTTAGTCTGTTTTCATTGTTGCTCCATTTTAAAATCACTGCAAATTTTCTCTTAAGTCTCCTAGGTGACTTAATTTCCTTTCTAACCTTTTCACATTTGCCTCCCATTTCTCCCTGTCCGGATCTTCCCATATATTTTTTATTTTATCCTCTAGGTATGCAGCTACTCAGTATTTCTAAAACTTACTTTTATGTTCAGTCAATGTAGGGACAAAAAAAAAAAATGTTGAACATTGATATTTGACTTAGTGTCTTTTTAAAAAAAAAAAAGATTTATTTATTTGTGCATACAGAACTGGGGTACAGACCAGAGGCTCAGGGGCAGTGAGAGGATTCACCAGAGACAGAGTGGGGAGCAGAACAGGCACTGACTAAGTACACTGCTGAGGGGAGCAGCAGGTGGGTCAGGAGAGGTCTGCCGTGCCATGTGGTCACCTCCCGGGCAGGCAGGAATCGAACTCATGGTTCTTAGTGTGTGCTTCAACCCGCTGTGCCACCAGGGAGGGCCTGACTTAGTGTCTTAATTGATTAAATAGCCCCTGATAACAGGCAACCTACTGTATGAAAACACACACCCCACACATTTTTTAAATTATTGCTATCACTTTTGTCTTGTCTTACATTGAAATGGATATACTTTCCATATGTATATTTATCAAGATAATACTGTCTTTATGGAAGCACATGGCCATCAACAAATGGAATTTTCATCCTCAGAATTAAATGTATATTAAACATAATAGGTATTACAATTAATTTATGTAAGTCATAATTATAAACACTGGCAGAGTTCATTTTTAAGAGTCCAGATTTTCCTTGTATAGCCAGCCGCCTATAAGTAAGACAAAATCAGATGCAGTATTTTTCTCTAAAAACGTGAAAATGCTAAATACCTGAATGGCTACACTTTGGGAAGATAGTACGGGGGCCTGATTTTCCTGATTCTCTCTTGAACTGTTTTAATGAAATGAATGTTCACAGCATCACTGGGGACTCCATCCTCCAAAGACCCTGAGCCAAATATAAACACAAGTCAGGAAGCAGAGAGAAGGGGCAAACTTCCTTACAACGCAGGTAAGTGGTATGCTTATGTGCTCTAACCAAGGTATTATAAATACCTTTTTGATTTTCAAAAACAACTCTCTATCAATCCCATGAAGAAAAAGAATGGGAAGATAAAGCATGTGCCTCAAATTCTTTTTAATAATTGAGAAAGGCAAATGAGTAGTAGATGATGACCAAGTCAACTAGTTCTCTTGTAATATTTAGTGATTTTATTCTGTATGTCTTCAGCTAGCTGTGTTTAAGTTTCAGTAACTACATATATATATTTATGTAAATTGCATGAGGGAATTTATTTAGAGAAATTCTTTAACAACTAAGATTTATGTATTATTATAAATTGTTGAATTTTGTTAAATCTGGAAAAGAACAAGGATGTATTGAACCAGAGTTAATTTTTAGTCTCAAAGATTGGCTTATTTCTGTAACTGGCTTTACAGCCAAGGAAATGCTACATCAAAGGCAGCCCACTGAAAATGAATAGTTCTTAAAGGAAAATTTAAGAAAAACATGAAATCTATAAAATAAGAAATACATCAGCAAGAGCACAAACTGATATGTTTAAAAGCAAAGTTAATCAAGGCACAATTCACAAACCCAAATTAAACAGACAAACAAAACAGCAACGAACCAACAATTCCTTTGTCAAAGCATGCCGGTCTCTATTTTCTTTATGTGTCAATTCAGTGCCAGGCCATTTTCACACATTTTCTTATTTAATCTCACAACTCTGTCTTCAGGACCATTCTGCATACAACTCATAAGTAGAGTAGAAAACTAAGAGTTAACCATGAAATCGCAAGGTCAGGTAGTACAAAGGACTAGTTGGTGTTTTTTGCCTCTTGCATTTCCATAAAACAGACACATTCTGGGCTAATTTGTAGCGCTACCTGAGTAGCTAAACTTTCCATCACATTTAGTATAAGGAGCAGAAGTAAGCCTGATTTTCTCACTCTTTCTTATCAGAGAAATACAACCCCGAAATGTAGATTATGAAACAGCATATTCACATGACTTCTGTGAAAATATTTTCAGTTGTCAGATGAGCCTGAGACATTGTCTGCGTGTCTTTCTCTTACTGTTAACTCACAAAACAGAATGTTATATATTGCCTTAAGTTCTACAGAAAGCTCCCCTTAAAAAAGTTTTTAACCAAGTGTTTCCCAAACATATGAATCTAACTTTTCACATATTTTGGGTTATGTGATAAAATCTAAAATAAACCTAATGTGTGTGTGGATCTCACTTTTCCTAGAAAAAAAGCCAGCTCTACATGGAATTTGTCAAAAGCATATATACATGGCTCTCGAATAATATTTGAGACTTTTTGACTATAGAGATTAAAACCTGGCAAAGTTTTCTGCACAATCTTAATAAAAAGAAAATTCTGTTATGGACTAATTCAAAGCATCATGTAGTAATGCTGTAGAAAGTCAATAATGATCACTGAGTTGGGAGAGTAGTAAAGAATGACTTACTGGAGCAAGTGACTTTTACTAAATAAGTAGTATCATTACAGTAAGAAATGTTTGAGTTGTTTCCATTCTCTCTTCTAGACACCTTTGCCATTTTCCACTTGTATGGATAATCTATAAATGCATTCATAATGATATTATGCACACATGTGTGTATACGTAAATGCTTACACATGCAGATGCATAAAACATGTACATATATAAGTATATGCATATTCTAAAAAAGTTCAGTGTATGTTTTTAGTTAAAAGATTTTAGATCCTTTCAATACATTTTTTTTAATCTTTGATTTCCTGAGCTAGATACAATTACCTAAATGTACTTTTCATGTCCTCCTTGTTAAAGGATGTTTTTTGTTAAATTAGGAGACCTTTGACTTGTGTTCTGGGAATCTTAGAATTTACTATTATCCAGTTTCCATCTCCTGGACTCTTTCTGTTAAAGACATCCCTATTAGGAATCTCCAAGGGGATTTAAATTTCTCCAGAGATTTTTATGTGGTGTTTAATGCCATTTTTTATCTTCCAGTGAGAGGTTGATCAAAGTTTTGATCAGGCTCAGTTTTCATACTTGTGAGAACCTTGTTCACTGTGGGTTATTATTACTGATAACTGAAACTGTGCAATTTCCTGAAGATGCCATTAGATGGAAATCATACAGTGCCGCTGTCCTCTGTGGTTACTTCCTTTTTCCTTCTCATTCCCTGCAGATCAGCCTTACGGAGCCACATAAATGGCTGATAAAAACGTCAGTGTGATAACGGAATTCATCCTCCTGGGGCTGACTGATAGCCGTGAACTGAATACTGTCCTTTTTGCGCTGCTTCTCCTGCTCTATCTGGTGACGGTGCTGGGCAACGTCTGGATAATGGCAATAATTCTGGGGAGCGCCCAGCTCCATTCTCCCAAGTACTTTTTCCTTAGCCAGTTGGCTTTCCTGGATGTCTGCTATTCTTCGGTTTTCATTCCTAAAATGTTGGCGAACTATGTAGCAGGACAGAGGGTCATCTCCTATCACGGCTGCCTCCTTCAGTACTCACTGGTCAGCATGCTCCTCACCTCCGAGTGCTTCCTGCTGGCTGCAATGGCGTATGATCGCTACGCCGCCATTTGCCGCCCACTTCACTACAAAAGGCTCATGACCCCTGCTCTCTGCGTCCACCTGATCACTGCCTCCTACTTACTAGGTTGTGCCAACTCACTCACCCACCTGAGCAGCCTGCTCAGTCTGTCCTTCTGTGGGCCCAATGTCATTAACCATTATTTCTGTGACATTCCAATGCTCTTTCAGCTTTCCTGTTCTGACACCCAATTCAGTAAGGTTTTATTTATTGTCCTCTCTGGGACGACATCGGTGACTACCTTTCTGATAGTGGTTAGTTCCTATCTGGGAATCCTTGTCACTATCCTGACCATACAGTCTACAGGGAGCAGATGGAAAGCCTTCTCCACCTGTGCTTCCCACCTAACAGTAGTGACACTCTTCTATGGAACGGTGATATTTACTTACCTGGGAACCAGTTCTAGCTACCCCCAAGAGAGGGCCAAAATCCTGTCTGTGTTTTACACACTTCTGCTTCCGGTGCTAAATCTTCTGATATATAGTGTGAGAGACACAGAGACCAAGGAAGTGATGAAAAGGGTCATTATGAGAAAAATACTTGCTCAGTTACCATGAATTTTCTATCCGAAATGTTTAAGGAATGAATGTTGCTATAGGTAGGTCCAGTATTAAATATCTGTGGGGATTTAAATATCAGTTGGAGAAGGTATTTTCAACCTCTGGCCTGTACTGCAGTTCCGTATGCATAAATAAATAAATAAATCTTCAAAAGAAGATGGTGTAAAGGTACACTCATTGCCAACTTTTGGAGATATACATTGTATATATAAGGTTGGTGTGTGTATTTGTGTGTGTGTATGCATGCACACATGCAAAAGTAAATACATACACAATACTTATGTGCAAGTCGGTTGTCGGCATGGTGGCACCAGCCTCTAGTCCCAGCTACTGGGAAGGCAGAGGCCAGAGGATCGCTTGAGTCCAGGAGTTCTGGATTGTAGCGTGCTATGAGGATTGGGTGTCCGCACTAAGTTCAGCATCAATATAGTACAAGCAACAATTTCCCTCTCCTCTTTTTAGTTTTACTATTTGAGGGCCTGTAAGTGAAGCTAACAAAAGACAGTTTAACGGGCAAAAAGACAGGTTACTCATGCATATGAGTGCAGCAAAAAAAAATGGTTATTCAATAATTATGGAAGGGGCTTATACACCCAATTTAAGGAAAAAGAATGAATAGGTGGGAAGTCATCTATGACAAGAATGAATGGGATTTTAAGAGAGAAAATAGGAAATAAGAAATTTTGTGATGTGATTTGTTTATGCAGATGTAAGTAGTTAGTATCTTCTCTCTTCTTCTGGCAGACAAAACTCTTCCAGAGGCAGAATATTTAGGAAATCCTTCCTTTCAGAAATCCTTGCCTTTAGTCAGGAAAATCCTGGAAAAGTTTTTATACATCTATTGAATACCAGTTGTCTTCAGGTAAGACTAATTTACACCACTCTAAAATTTCTATCCCTTCAATTCCCAAATAAGAATTTTGAATTTCTACTAACTTCCGATGTAAAAAATAGCCACCATCTTCGACAGATTGATTAGTTAAAAATGTGATCTTCAGGGCCCTCCCTGATGACACAAGAATTAAAGCGCAGCATTATGAAGCTGTCCTCAGCCACTGCAGGGCCAATTCAATCCCTGGCTGGGAGCTGACTTACATGGTGTGGCAGAATAGAACACTCCTGACCCACCTACTGCTCCTCTTAACTGTGTGTTTCAGTACATCTGCCTGTTCTGCTCCTCACTATGTCTCTGGTGAATCCTTTTACACCCACACCTCTGGCCTGTACCCCAGTTCTTGTGTGCATAAATAAATAAATCTTTTTAAAAATGTGATCTTCAGTTTTGGTAAAGAAGATAGATAAACCATAGGTGACATCAGGCAGACACACACAGAAACATGTCTGCACCCATAGGAACACACCACCTATGACAACTGGTGACAGTGAATTGTCTTCCTTCTTTTCAATGAAAGAAGAGCTAATTAGTTTTACAAATGAGAGGAAAATGAGCCCATGGAGTTAAAAGTTTACACAAAACAAAACACATCGATATTTAAGAGGTTGACTTCAAACAAACATATACTAGCTTCAAATAAAGATTTCTCTAGGGTATTACTCTACTTTGTTAGGACCTTGTTTCTGGTAAGACTTTTATGCTTTTAAAATTAAATTTTATAACATATAACTGATTGTGGTCTCTTTGTTTGGATGTACAGCCAGCCTGATGATGTGAGTCTGATTTTGTTGATATTAGGAGTTTCCATTGGTGATGCAATGCTAACAATATGTACCTATATCTATACTTCTATAAATCTATCCTCTATCAGAAGGTCTACCTATGGTTTTAGGTCCCTCTTCATCCAATAATGGTCAGACAATTCAAAATTATGGTTTGCAGCTCTGATCCCCTCCCTCATATATCTGTTCCTTTTGTCTATTCCTGAATTCTATTTCTTTGTAGTAAAAGGACAATTCATTAAGTAAAACATACCCTGAATTCTGTGACTTCTTGAATAAATTAACTGATCCCAAGGAAAAGGTTGTGGGAACCTCTGAGTACAACCAGCTAACAACCTGGCTTTACTCTGCTTTTTGAAAGAAAGAGGAAAGACTTTGAAAGCCAATCTGTAGCTCCTCAGGAGAAAGCAATAAACAGTAAAACATGCAAAGTAGCTCTGACAAATGATCTCCTAATATTCTTGTGCATTAAGCAGTCTTTCCCTCAGAAAATTAGAAATCTACATAAAAATCGATTTCATTATCATGAATTGATGGCACCTGCACAAGATTTTTTTTTTTATTAAAGATTTATTTATTTGTAACTGGGGTACAGGCCAGAGATGAAGGGGTGGTGAGAGAATTCACCAGAGACAGAGTGGGCAGCAGAACAGACAGATGGACGAAGTACACTGCTGAGGGGAGCAGCAGGCGGGCATGAGAGGTCTGCTGCGCCATGTGGTCACCTCCGGGGCAGGCGGGTATCGAACTCATGCGAAAGTGGCTTTAGCTTCTTAGGGCTGTGCTTCAACCCATTGCGCCCACCAGGGAGGGCCCTGCACAAGAATAGTTTAATCTCCTTGCTACTTCATCACTTTCCAGATATTCCTGTGCATCCTCATCTTTACACAAGGCATCCTCAACACAATATTTCACTCTTCTTGTCATATTTTATTTAACTTTTTTTCATAGTTAAGGAAACATTGGACTTGACTATAGAAAGAAGTGAGCTTTTGTCTAGTTAATTATCAAATGTTTGCTAACATCAATGCTGTTACCTTCAATATAAAATAAAATAACAAGTACACAAAGGTATTAAAACAAGTGACACAACTATTGCTAAGTGGATAAGTCAGGTCACTGACAAATCTGAACAAGCAGCCCAAGATGCCTCAGAATATTTATCAGTAGATGAACTTTTCAGAAAGGAAGACAGCTGCGTGCACTAACCAACACATAGTACATGAAATTATGGGTTCATGAAAAGTTTCATGATATCCTATCAAATTTTCATGATAAAATGATGACTGGATGCTGATATACAGAATAATAATAATTATACATTTCTATCAATATACAAACAGACTATATAAAAAGAAAAATATGTTGGGGAAGTTTAAAACAATGTTGCATCAACTTGAATTATTTTCATTTTTTTTAAATTTAGCTTTATTTTCTTTTTCTCCTATGTATATGCTTTATCCCTCTGGTAATATCACATTATAAATATAAAATATGTCATTGTGAAATATAAATCATTCCATCCCTAACAGTTTCAGTAATAATAATTCAGTAAATACATACAAAGAGTTTCTTTACATCTGCAGTCAAACTGAGACAAAAAGGAAAACAAACCAGTTGTTTAATAGGTGGTTTCTAAGGGACAAAACATAACAGAGCTATATTGAAACCTTGAGCATTTATGTTTGGAAGCTTGCCAAATAATTTTCTTTAGTAATTGGTCTCTCAAGGATCATCAGACATTATGTGATCTCCCATCCCCAATATATGAGGAGCCTGGAATTATCAGCAGGAGACACAAGGCAACTCTGTTCCACTTATGTTCCCAGTAACACCCGAAGAAGCTTTAAGGAGATCCCTTCCAGGCAAACTTCCACTTAACCAGGACCTTAACAAAATCCCTGGGTTGATTGATTTTTTTACATCAGAATAAGATGAGTGCACCAAAACTTAAAAAGCACTTGCCTCTAAGTAAACATATACTATATTTCAGAAATTTCCAACTCAGATGGTTTTCATGTTTTATTTGTGAGGAAAATTTTAGAGTGAATTATTTCTAGGCTGATAATATTGGATGAAAGCTTTGCTTTTTTTGCTACCAGCCTTGGCTCACAGTAAGTATTCCACCCCGAATTAGAGGGTTTTAGGTAGAGTCAAATAAATGTGGACACATATCAGGATGATATGCATACATGTGTTGTTTAAATCTTAACGCCTAAGAGATGCCTGCATTTGGGCTGACAGAAACAGAGTTGATTGAATCAGGGACTTCAAGCCTTGTCAATAACATAGAAAATAATTTTGGAGGAAATTTGACTTAAATGATCAAAGTAGGAAAACATTTTAATTTCTAGAAATTGGTATTATTATTAATTAATATTAATTAAATAATAAACGTCAGTGTACTTTAAGGTTGAAATTCATCATTAATATTACGTAATATTAGTCAGGTTTAGTAAATAAAGCCTCAATATCATGTTTCTATTATAGCTGTTTTATATATAACTTTTTTTTCAGGGGTGCTGAAAGTAGTTATAATGGGGAACAAGTTACTGATAAGCACTTTGCAGTCAGTTATCTTGTAGTCTTGCAATATCATCATGTAGTAGCTCTGACTCCAGACAGATATCTTGAATAGTCCTTATCTCTTTCCAGTGTAAACAGTATGGATAACAGTGACACCTGCAGTATGATGATATTGTTATGAGGAATAAAAATTACATTAAATATGGGCAACCTTTAGAATAGTGTCACAGTCATTCTATTTACGTACGTATCAGGTTTAATTACATCATCTACAATTATCAAGTAAAACTATTTCTTTATTTGGCTATCAAATTTGGTTTCATTCCACCATATTCCACAAACCCCTTGTCATTAAAAAAAAAATAGAAATGTGCAACAAATTACAGGAGCCAGGTTATTCGTACAAGAACAACTATTTTTGTTATTAAATTGAGGTAATATTTTCATACAACTATCAATATTGCCACTGAAGTAGTCCCCCACCAAATTGCGCTAGAGTGCATACTATCCAGAGTGCATTGGAAAAACTAACATTTCTGAAGATATTGCTGCCAAGTGTCAACTCTGACTTCTCCACAGGTAAGCCAGTGGAGCATAATGCGTAGATGGAATAAGACCGACGTGCCTTACTTCATCCTTATGGGCCTGACAGATGCTGAGGACATCCGGCTGGTGCTCTTTGTGCTGTTTCTGCTGATCTACCTGGTCACCGTGCTGGGGAATGCGGGCATGATAACAGTCATCCGCCTGGATGCCCAGCTGCACACCCCCATGTATTTCTTCCTCAGTCACCT